TTTTTTTTTTTTTTTTTTCATTTCTCGATCGTTTTATTATTATTATTATCAATTTCCCGCCGCGTAAAATTTATGGAGACGCGGGCGTGCGCGCACCTATCGGCGATTTGGATAACTAAAAAAAAAATTTCTTTCCGTCTTATTATACAGACGAACGAACGGAAACGATACACAAAAAAAAAAAAAATAATAATAATATTTTTTAAATGACACGTTTAAATTTTAATACCACGAAAATTATCAATGTGAAATTTTCTAATGACACGACCCAAAAAACACAAAATTAAGCATAAAATTAATAATAATTTTAAAAAATTTTCTTTTTGTTTTTAAATTTCGCGTTATACTAATATAATTGTTAATCGCTACGAAATGATTTTTGTTTGTTGGTTGTTTGTTCGTCTGTTTGTTTGTTGTTTGTACGAATATTTTAAATTCGAAACAAAATCATCATCATAATAATAATTCATCGTAATAATAAAAATTATATATATAATTTTTTTAAAAAAAAAAATTCTTTGGGGGGATTTTAAGGTATAGAAGAGAAAAACAACAACAACAACCATAACAACCATCGTAGTCACGGTCGAGCCTATAATTTTTCTTTCTTCTTATTTTTTTTATAAAGAGTAAAAATAAATAAATATAAAAAAAATTTATAATAATAATAATAATAATAATACGAAATCTTTTACCTTCGTGAAATAAAACCCTCGTATAATCATCGTAAATCGTTTTCAAACATATTTTAACGAAAAAAAAAAAAAATTGTTGTCGCCAAAGGGCGACAAAATAAAAGTAGTTTTTTTTTTTTTTTTTTTTTTTTTTTTTTATAACTAGTCGACAAGTATTTAATAACCCGACGGCATAAATTAATGTTTAACGTATAATAATAATAATAAGAGAAAAAAAAATTTTTTTTTTTTTTTTCGCGTATTTGTAACGGAAATGACCGAACCGTTTTATTATTATTATTATTATTATTATTATTTTTTCCTAATTAGTTTTTACGTCTGTTGTTGTTGTTGTCGTTGTTGTTTATTATTATTACTGCTGACACGACGATATCACTTTCGTTTTATTTAATACATTTGGAAAAAAATTTTTTTTTAAAATGATGACGATGACGTCAAACTACTAACTATAATACGATGATGATAATAATGATAATAAATTAAACAAAAGTATTTTTTTTTTCTTCTGCTTCTTCTTCTTCTTCTTCTACCGACGACGATTCTCGTCTTTGTCAGTTTAGATTGATTACGATTTACAATCAACGTTTTTATTGTTCGTATCGGATTGTAAAGAACGCGTGGAAGCAGAAGAAAAAAAAATAATATTCTACATATATATACGTCGTTTGAAAAAAAAAAACAAATTTTCGTGAGATTTAAACACAATTAAAACCGGATACGGAAATACGATGATGATGATGATGGGTAAGAATTCGTAACACGCGCACGCGCACTCACGCACACACCCATATATTGAAACGTTAGTTTTAAAAATATTTCGTTTGTTTTTTTTTTTTTTTTTGGTTGTTTTTCTTTATAACTTCATGAGAAAAAAAAATTTATGAATTTATTTATTCGTTAAAAATTCCGTGATGATGATAATAATAATAATAATAATAATAAT